ATCTGTCACGTGATAGTCACCAATAATCAATCAGCTGCGGAAAAAATAAAATGAAAACTTTCTGATTCTTCCGACGGTTACGTTGTCACTGTAACACTCACTGCTCTGAAAGTCCCTCAAACAGTGATTCGCTGGGATTGATGAGTTTCCGAATAATGTGTATAGAGGTCCTAAAACTTACAATCAATGTGAGAGTAATTGCCGCTGTTCGGATGGCTGTGAGTTTGACGTTTTGTAAGGATCCTTTCGAATTGAGTGCAAAATAAAACAAAGCAACAACATCGCTCTCGATGTAAGCGCAAATCACTGTACACACACTGATGTAGAAAACGTAGCGCGTGACGACTTTGTGCTTGTTTAGAATGATGATTTATCTTTTTTCATTTCCCAGATTCTAGTCCTTCTGTATTGAATGGTTTTTATTTTTATTTTTCATTGCGTGACAGTGCAAGCCGAGAATAGGAGTGTGGGACAGATGTCACGCTCGTGATTTGTTTGTTATAGAAAATGATCTTAGAATCACATGATAGGCCGCTTCCGGCACACGTGCGATTTAAGTAATTCAATCAATGATTATTTTTTGCCCTTAGATTCTTGGAAACATAAAATTGGATCAACTGTAGCCTGCGTGGCAGGCGTTTGAAAGGGGAGGGAAAGGGAGTTTTATTAGGCCCCTAAAACTCCATTTCCCTTCCCTTTCAAACGCCTGCCACGCAGGCTAGATCAACTGTGAGGCTTTAGATTTCCCACAACATGTAAAATAACGATAGTAACAACCTGATGTTACTTGCACGTGCACACAAATATCTGGTAAAGCATAGGAAATTGAACCAACAATCACAAACTAGTGTAAGTTTTTATTTTTTAACCGCTATAAATTAATGGGAGGCGAACTCGAAGTTAAGAGACAAATTCTATTTCACCTATTAAATTTTCACTTACTAACTTTTAATAGATCAGTTTCAACAGGAACTGGGTAATCAAGAATTAAACAAAAATGTAATTTCAATGTAGTCAGGTGCACCTAATGACGGTTTTCTCCTAAGTACTTTGGAAGCACCTTTTTATGTCTTTTAATACTATGTTTTTCCTGTAAATAAGCTTTGTTACATCTTGAATAAAGTTGGGTCACTTGGATTAATTTTTGCTGGATATGTGCCGCTGGCCTCTCAGAGCCCCTACCCCATTATAGTCTATCCTGTGGCCAATTATAGACCCCATCTCAGTCACTTTTGGGCAAATTTGTAATTTTCGCAATCCCAGCTTAGTCAGTTTCTGTTTATGTATCTACCTTATATTGAATGAAGAACACTTTCCTTTTCACCTACACTAAAGGCGCACATTCTGGTACGTTTGCTCACCATAAATATTTAGAACTGCCTAATCCCAAAAATCAGAAAATCTGCGACCCCATTCTAGTAACTGTATTGAAAATGCGACCTCATTATAGTCAATCCAGTTGTGAAAATGCGACCCGATCCAGCGGCACATCCCCATTAGCCTCTTATAAGGAAGTACCCCCGCCCCCGAGTCACGGTGTCACTGTAACACTCACTGTTCACCAAGTCCCTCAAACAGTGATTGCCTTGGCTTGATAAGTTTCCGGATAATATGCATAGAGGTCCTAAAACTTACAATCAATGTGAGAGTAATTGCCGCTGTTCGGATGGCTGTGAGTTTGACGTTTTGTAAGGATCCTTTCGAATTGAGTGCAAAATAAAACAAAGCAACAACATCGCTCTCGATGTAAGCGCAAATCATACACACACTGATGTAGAAGACGTAGCGCGTGACGTAGTTGTGCTTGTTTAGAATGATTAAAAAAAGAAAATTACATACTGTGTTTATGGAATTGTAAAGTGCAAAGAGAACGAAATATCTGATATGCACGGAACCTGATAATGAGCAAAATGGCTCAACAACACCCAACACTAGCAAATAAATGTTCGAAGCGAACCAGTCATTTCGGATTAATTTTGAAAAATTTGTGAAAATAGTCCATGTCCACATCCGTTGATTTCTACAGGCAAGGTGACTGTACAAGAAAAAGCAAAATATCTGAAAAGGTGACCACCCAAGAGGAAAGATATCAATGTCTCCATCATCAAATCTAAAAAAGGATTGTCCACTAGAAGACAAACCTACCGGGAGAGCTGCTAAAATAAGAATCAGATAACCAAAGCCTATCGCTGCTTTGTAACAAACACTGTGGTGTTCTTTGAGAGAACCACTTCCTTGAGGACGACATCTGTTATCACGAGAGTCATTACTTACGGCACTTAGTAGGGGCTGTTCTTCAGCAGGTCTTTCTCGGCATGCTAATAACTGTACTGGCTCCCCAGTTCTGTGCTCGCCTTCCTCCATTGTTCGACTTTGTCTTTCAGCATCAGTCTCGACTTGGTTTTCCGCTTCCGGCTCTAATGGATTTTCACTTCTTTCATGTCGTCCGGAATGCCAACAGAATTTCTTTGTCCGTCTCATCCACTCGAGTGTGATGATTGGCCCCACAAGAAACCAGTAGTAAAGTTTTTCAAAGTAAGATTTCATTGCGTCAAGTTCTTTTAAACGCGGTTTATCAACTTGCACGCTGATTTCCACATTGGTTCTACCAGTGCACCAAGGAATCATATCGCCGTTTTTGAAAAGTTGAGAAAATGAACCTTCCAAAACCGGGATTAGTAAAATCTCTTTACTTGGCACTTCTATTGGGGTTGTACTGATTTTGGAAGAGTTTGCAAAATATATTAGAACAGAATACCCTGCTCTCTGAGCCTCTAGCGCCAAGTCTCGAATGGGACAAGCAGTTTCATCTTCATGTAGAAGGATGACGAGAGCGATCTTGTTTGCTGGTATTTTCGCTTTGCTCACATCAGTGAGGGGTTGACACACATTTTTGAGTGTCGAAGTTACTGCCAGTCCGGGAAAACGAAGCTCTCTGCCTTCGTCGGTAATTGATGCTTGAATAAAGGACTCCAGAGAGGGTCCAAGAGTCCGGTTCAATTTATACTCATAATTCCAACCGCACGACGACAATATCAGTTTTGGAATTCTATAATCAAATGAGTAGTGCCAGAAATCAATGTAATAAAGTACCAAGGTAAGACAGAAAAAGAAAAGAAAAAGGCTCGTTGCCAAACACTTTCCAAGCATGATTTTGATTTTGCCGTTACTGCTGAAATATCTCCTGAAAAATCTCGTGATTTGGGGTAGACATCAAACTAACCCTGTGACGCAGACGTAATTTAACCCAAGGAAATATTTTAAGGTTAAATCTCGTTGGTGTAACGCAGGCTAAAATGATAAAATATGTAATTACTAATCATAACTATAACAAAATTCTTAAATCTGATTGGCTATCAACTGCCCTAATTTCAGCCTTAATAGGACAGTTAAATAGGACAGTACGCATCATGCCAAAGTAATTGGACAGTACGCGCCATCACGCGCGCGCTTAAATGGCTTTTTTTTTGTCACTGCTAGCAAAAAAAATCTCGGAATTTCTTGTGTTTTGATTGAAAAAGGAGCCTCATATGTCACAAATTTTGTTAAAGTTATGATTAATTGGTAACAGAACTTCGTGTCGTCCAATTCGGTCTGTAATCATACTCGTGATTAAACAAATCTACTTACAATCAATGTGAGAGTAATTGCCGCTGTTCGGATGGCTGTGAGTTTGACGTTTTGTAAGGATCCTTTCGAATTGAGTGCAAAATAAAACAAAGCAACAACATCGCTCTCGATGTAAGCGCAAATCACTGTACACACACTGATGTAGAAAACGTAGCGCGTGACGACTTTGTGCTTGTTTAGAATGATGATTTATCTTTTTTCATTTCCCAGATTCTAGTCCTTCTGTATTGAATGGTTTTTATTTTTATTTTTCATTGCGTGACAGTGCAAGCCGAGAATAGGAGTGTGGGACAGATGTCACGCTCGTGATTTGTTTGTTATAGAAAATGATCTTAGAATCACATGATAGGCCGCTTCCGGCACACGTGCGATTTAAGTAATTCAATCAATGATTATTTTTTGCCCTTAGATTCTTGGAAACATAAAATTGGATCAACTGTAGCCTGCGTGGCAGGCGTTTGAAAGGGGAGGGAAAGGGAGTTTTATTAGGCCCCTAAAACTCCATTTCCCTTCCCTTTCAAACGCCTGCCACGCAGGCTAGATCAACTGTGAGGCTTTAGATTTCCCACAACATGTAAAATAACGATAGTAACAACCTGATGTTACTTGCACGTGCACACAAATATCTGGTAAAGCATAGGAAATTGAACCAACAATCACAAACTAGTGTAAGTTTTTATTTTTTAACCGCTATAAATTAATGGGAGGCGAACTCGAAGTTAAGAGACAAATTCTATTTCACCTATTAAATTTTCACTTACTAACTTTTAATAGATCAGTTTCAACAGGAACTGGGTAATCAAGAATTAAACAAAAATGTAATTTCAATGTAGTCAGGTGCACCTAATGACGGTTTTCTCCTAAGTACTTTGGAAGCACCTTTTTATGTCTTTTAATACTATGTTTTTCCTGTAAATAAGCTTTGTTACATCTTGAATAAAGTTGGGTCACTTGGATTAATTTTTGCTGGATATGTGCCGCTGGCCTCTCAGAGCCCCTACCCCATTATAGTCTATCCTGTGGCCAATTATAGACCCCATCTCAGTCACTTTTGGGCAAATTTGTAATTTTCGCAATCCCAGCTTAGTCAGTTTCTGTTTATGTATCTACCTTATATTGAATGAAGAACACTTTCCTTTTCACCTACACTAAAGGCGCACATTCTGGTACGTTTGCTCACCATAAATATTTAGAACTGCCTAATCCCAAAAATCAGAAAATCTGCGACCCCATTCTAGTAACTGTATTGAAAATGCGACCTCATTATAGTCAATCCAGTTGTGAAAATGCGACCCGATCCAGCGGCACATCCCCATTAGCCTCTTATAAGGAAGTACCCCCGCCCCCGAGTCACGGTGTCACTGTAACACTCACTGTTCACCAAGTCCCTCAAACAGTGATTGCCTTGGCTTGATAAGTTTCCGGATAATATGCATAGAGGTCCTAAAACTTACAATCAATGTGAGAGTAATTGCCGCTGTTCGGATGGCTGTGAGTTTGACGTTTTGTAAGGATCCTTTCGAATTGAGTGCAAAATAAAACAAAGCAACAACATCGCTCTCGATGTAAGCGCAAATCATACACACACTGATGTAGAAGACGTAGCGCGTGACGTAGTTGTGCTTGTTTAGAATGATTAAAAAAAGAAAATTACATACTGTGTTTATGGAATTGTAAAGTGCAAAGAGAACGAAATATCTGATATGCACGGAACCTGATAATGAGCAAAATGGCTCAACAACACCCAACACTAGCAAATAAATGTTCGAAGCGAACCAGTCATTTCGGATTAATTTTGAAAAATTTGTGAAAATAGTCCATGTCCACATCCGTTGATTTCTACAGGCAAGGTGACTGTACAAGAAAAAGCAAAATATCTGAAAAGGTGACCACCCAAGAGGAAAGATATCAATGTCTCCATCATCAAATCTAAAAAAGGATTGTCCACTAGAAGACAAACCTACCGGGAGAGCTGCTAAAATAAGAATCAGATAACCAAAGCCTATCGCTGCTTTGTAACAAACACTGTGGTGTTCTTTGAGAGAACCACTTCCTTGAGGACGACATCTGTTATCACGAGAGTCATTACTTACGGCACTTAGTAGGGGCTGTTCTTCAGCAGGTCTTTCTCGGCATGCTAATAACTGTACTGGCTCCCCAGTTCTGTGCTCGCCTTCCTCCATTGTTCGACTTTGTCTTTCAGCATCAGTCTCGACTTGGTTTTCCGCTTCCGGCTCTAATGGATTTTCACTTCTTTCATGTCGTCCGGAATGCCAACAGAATTTCTTTGTCCGTCTCATCCACTCGAGTGTGATGATTGGCCCCACAAGAAACCAGTAGTAAAGTTTTTCAAAGTAAGATTTCATTGCGTCAAGTTCTTTTAAACGCGGTTTATCAACTTGCACGCTGATTTCCACATTGGTTCTACCAGTGCACCAAGGAATCATATCGCCGTTTTTGAAAAGTTGAGAAAATGAACCTTCCAAAACCGGGATTAGTAAAATCTCTTTACTTGGCACTTCTATTGGGGTTGTACTGATTTTGGAAGAGTTTGCAAAATATATTAGAACAGAATACCCTGCTCTCTGAGCCTCTAGCGCCAAGTCTCGAATGGGACAAGCAGTTTCATCTTCATGTAGAAGGATGACGAGAGCGATCTTGTTTGCTGGTATTTTCGCTTTGCTCACATCAGTGAGGGGTTGACACACATTTTTGAGTGTCGAAGTTACTGCCAGTCCGGGAAAACGAAGCTCTCTGCCTTCGTCGGTAATTGATGCTTGAATAAAGGACTCCAGAGAGGGTCCAAGAGTCCGGTTCAATTTATACTCATAATTCCAACCGCACGACGACAATATCAGTTTTGGAATTCTATAATCAAATGAGTAGTGCCAGAAATCAATGTAATAAAGTACCAAGGTAAGACAGAAAAAGAAAAGAAAAAGGCTCGTTGCCAAACACTTTCCAAGCATGATTTTGATTTTGCCGTTACTGCTGAAATATCTCCTGAAAAATCTCGTGATTTGGGGTAGACATCAAACTAACCCTGTGACGCAGACGTAATTTAACCCAAGGAAATATTTTAAGGTTAAATCTCGTTGGTGTAACGCAGGCTAAAATGATAAAATATGTAATTACTAATCATAACTATAACAAAATTCTTAAATCTGATTGGCTATCAACTGCCCTAATTTCAGCCTTAATAGGACAGTTAAATAGGACAGTACGCATCATGCCAAAGTAATTGGACAGTACGCGCCATCACGCGCGCGCTTAAATGGCTTTTTTTTTGTCACTGCTAGCAAAAAAAATCTCGGAATTTCTTGTGTTTTGATTGAAAAAGGAGCCTCATATGTCACAAATTTTGTTAAAGTTATGATTAATTGGTAACAGAACTTCGTGTCGTCCAATTCGGTCTGTAATCATACTCGTGATTAAACAAATCGGACTCCCGCTACGCGGTCGTCCAATTTTGTTGATCACTCGTATGATTACAGACCGAATTGGACTCCACTCAGTCCTGTTACCATTACTTATCATATGACACGTTCCCGCGCGCAATTTCGTTGGAAAACCCCGTGAAAAAAGTTCCGTATGAGGGCGGTAAGCGTCAAGTGATAGGGTCGAAAAAACGCGTACGGCCCTTCTAAGAAAAGCGCGTGCGAAACGAGGCAAATGCTGCCATGAATGAGTTTTCGCTCCTTCAAAGAAAATTTAAAAACACAACTGTCATATGATAAAATGCTTATTGACTGAGCTACAATCCGTGACATAAGAACTTGGATCAATTGAAGGAATAATGTTGACATGTTGCGCTCGACCTCTTTTTCCTTTTCCTCCCAATGTTGGCCTCGAACTTGGACAAGTCCATCAAAAAACCATTTCAAAACAGAAATTCGAAATCTAAGGGAAAGGGTCTTATAAAGATGCTCGGAACTGCTATTATCGCCATTCTCCTCAAAACATTTCCTTAAACTTCTGTACCCAATGCACGGTAAATCTAAGACACCAAGCCTCTTGTATCACTTGAAGAAGATACAAGCGTCTCTCCACTTTAAGCAACAGCAATCACTCAAAATTTATTTTTCACAAACGCGTAAGCAACAACCCGTTAACAATTTTCATGGATAATTCTTCACCTATATATGTTGCAAAAAAATTGACCGTTTGAACACTAAACAAGCCTTAAATCTATAACTAATTAATACACGTTGTCACGGAACTGCAGCCTATTCTAGACTGTTCAAAGTCCCCTACTTTTAGGTCAAGCGCTTCACATTACAGGCGGCCTTCTTGAATGCAATGAGTGTCAAATCACTTAAAGGGGGACGCCCCTTCGGTAAATAAGAAACCAAGATTGCCGTCGGTACTGGCAAGTGCTTGATCCTGATGATCTTACTAAAAAAAGTAGAGGACTGTGAACAGTCTAAGCCTATTCTGTTGTTTTGAATAAGTTTCTCGTAGAGTTGACATTATCTTGCACAACCAGGGTATTTTGACTCCACTACACAACATCAACAGACAAAATGTAAAGGCAAATAAGTTTATTTTGGGACGGCTTGCACAAAAAGAAAAAACTCGTGCTACAAATGGTCGCTCTTGACCTGAATCACCCAGTTAAGCACGCAGGCTTAGTGCCAGTTAGGCTGCCAGTTATTCTGGGGAAACTAATTAATAAAACTCTGACAACATATAGCTGGCACAGGGAACACGGTAGGAGCACAGAGGCTAAGCAAAAAGAAAAACTGCTATAACCGGTCGATCTCGACCTAAATCCCCCAAATAAGCACGCAGGCAAAGTGCCAAAATACAGCAATAGGTAAATAACTAATGTACAACACTCGCAAATAAACTAGCTTTCACAAAAAGAAAGAACCGCTACATCTGGTCGATATCGACCTGAATCCCCCATTTAAGCACGCAGACTTAGTGTCAGTTAGACTGCTAGTAAAGCTGCCAGTTAGGCTGGGGAAACTAAATAAAACTCTAATCAACGAATAACTGGGACAGGGAACACTGAAGGACCGCAGAGGCTGAGCGCCGGGAAAGAACTTAGAATCGTACACTAACGTACCCAACAAGGCATGTAGGCCAATTGCCAGTTAGGCTACCAGAAAAGGCTAGGGTACGAAAACAAGGGTAAACAAATGGCTAACAACCCTAACAAGAAGTCTGTCACATTGTAAGCAATCAAACTGCGTCAAGCTAGACATATCTCGCCACTTAAAGAGCGGTCCCCGGACAGCTGAACTAAGCATACATAAAAAATAAACATATAAAAAATCAAGTGATTTATTTCATATACATCTAACGTAAATATATTAAGTAAAGGAACATCTAGACAACTGTGAAAAACCAAACAAGTACATAAGATAAGAAAACTAGCAGAGCTGAGCTACCGCTTACAACTGAAACGAATGCGGTAAGACGGAGGCCAGAAAAAACCTGCCCAAAAAAACCCCGTAGGGAAAAAATGCGGGCAGGAAATCTGGGTAGGAACCAAGGCTCAAGCTCAAAGCCCTTCCTACGGGACTTTACAATGTAATCGAGAATAGCCTGCTCCTAAAAAGGACAAAAAACAAAAGCCAAAAAACAAAAATAAAAGAAAAAACCAAAGAGAGGTTGGTTCAGAAGCCTAGATGACGTACACGTGATATACGCAGCTTTATATACCCCCGATATGGCTACCCATGGTGCACCCGGCCTAGAACCCAGGCCCTGTTGTATCTCGTGCCGTCAAAATATTTATTTCTGCCTTCTTCGCGGGCTCATTCGTCAGAAATAACATATTTTTACCACTTATATTATTACTAGGGTATCTAAAAGATAGTAATGCTGCGGCACATTCTATTGATACTGGCATTAGTTAGGCAGTGAGACTTAAAAGAATAATTACTATCAGTCTATAGAGAGAACTCGTGGGAACGTTGTTTAAAAAATGATCAAGTGGTTGTAACTCTGGTTTTCCCACAGTAAATTGTAGGAAATAATAGAAATTCAGATTGTTTATCCATATATTTAAAATACGGTGCACGATATTTTCTCTGGAAACACAATACTTTTCTTGCTGTTTGTTACACTTTATTAAGTAACAGTTATTTAGCTATATATTTATAGAAAACAACAACACAAAAAAAGGAAAAAAAAAAGAAAGAAGGAATAAAGAATTCGGTAGGATTCGAATCCTGCACCTTCTGCTCGACGCGACAACACCTAACCACTACACCACAAAGGCTGACTGCACAATTTTGGGGAAAAGTCTTTCATTTTATTCCTTTACCATGAGACTTTCGCCAGCAAGATGTTCGCCAGCCGCATTAACCGAGCTATTAACAGTGAAAAAACAATGTAAAAGGCATATTCCATGGCAATGAATGAAAGAACATAATTATGCTTTTCAAAGTAGGACACAAAACATATGTTTTGTTATCTCGATTTCCGCTGTTATTTTAAAGCGAACGGTCAAAATCACATCCATTTTTTGCTCATACAGTTTCTTAAGAATAGCACTGCATGACATTTTCTCACTTTCACATCACCTTCTAGCAAGCTGGAATTTGTATATCCCCCGTGTTGCGGAGTCGAAGAACAAATGCTCATCTTCTTGTCAGCTTTAACACCTGGACGACTCAAAGGCTCTTGAATTGAAAGCCAATCCCCAAGTTAACCATCGTACTCATCTGAAAGACTCCTGCGTGTCCTAAAATTTGGTAAGACCTCTAACCGTGCTGTAGAAAATTTGCCACAAAGAAAACTCTAAGTCTGAGCAGCGAACGATGCACTGTCTCCCCCACCGAACTTCCCCGTGTTTTTATTTGAGTTGCTCGTGGCGCAATGCACTCTGGTTAAATGCAATGCATTGTGGTAGAAAGTGATGAATTCGAGAATTCGTCGCCCCTTATATATTTCCTTTAAATCCTGATTATGTTGCTGCTCGCTCCCTTCGGTCGCTCCGCAGCAATAACCCTCAGTTAATGTCTTCGGCCAATAAAGCCAAGAAATCTTACTTTTAAAGCACCACCAGCCCCTCCCCTTAATGTTAATACCAACTTCTCACTTAGGGCAACATGTTGGGTTAGGGCAAAAGCCATATTAGGACTTTGTTAGGGGAGGGGTTGGTAAGACGTTTCCCAGAATCTCATACTGTTCCAATTAATAAATACTTTAAATGACACAAAGTTGCCTAAGGCAGACTACTTGGTCTTTTGACCCTTTTATAAATTATATTATTATTCATTCAAAGTATTTCCCTGATTCTGATTGGCTATGATGACCAAATTTGGAAGAATTTTGTGTTTAATGAACTGATGACATTAAAAGTGCAGCTTTCTAGCAGGTTAATGCACCATTAACAGAGAAGACCTGGAGACAAGGTTGAGTTGTTTTGGTTAAGAAAACAAAAATGGCAGACATTTCACTCATTTCAAGAGTAAGAACTAGGAGAAATAATAGGTAAAAACATGGCAAGAACAGCAAAAAGACAATTTGAAGGGCGACATCTGCTATTTGGAGAATATTTGTGGAGCTGATTAACCCTAAGCGTGCACTATTGAAGATGAACTTAATATCGATGGAGGTAAGCATGTTTTAACTAAGTTTAAAGTTTTTAAACTAGGAATCATTTTGATTGAATAATAAAACAATTATTGAATTTGGCTTTCGTATCATATGAAGAATTATGGAGATCTCGGGGGGTGTTATGGCATAGATGGATAACAGAGAGAAGTGAAAAGGGACTGATACTCAGGCTAGAAACAACTCCATGCAGTAAAATGGTTAGCACCGGACTTTGGCTGGATCATTGTAAGATTCTGGGATCCTCCGCTAACCCAACATTTTGCCCTAAGTAAGAAATTAGTTTTAATGCTGGGTTAGGGGAGGGGTGAGTGGGTAATTATGTAGAATCTTACACTGGTCCCTTAAGGAATTAGACCATGCACAACTATGATAGTAGACCTTTGACAGAGAGAATTTGAGAATGACCCTACATACAGTTGTTCCCTCTTACAATTTTGTAAGGGTTGACAAACCAAGTACACTTAAACCTAAGGAGTTGTACTTTAACCACTACAAAGGGGAAAATATCCATCTCATTCAGAAAAAAAGGAAAATCCCACTGAGATTTTCTAGACTGAGTGGGCAAAGATAAAAAGGTTTCCAAAATGTTTTTTTAGAGACTGTATGGATTGTTATTACTCTTGTAGTTCCATACTCAAAATGATCTCTACATTACAGACTCTTTTGCTGTTTTTAAGAAGGTGACACATGTGGGTGGCAATTGAAAACCACAGGAGATGAGATGGGGGATTCTTCCTCTGCAGTGAACCTGGCCGTATACAAAAATCCCTTACAGCTTTGCTTTTTGTTGGCTTTGCCACAAAGAAACACTCATAAACTATGATCCATCTCACTATGCAAGCATCTGAGTGCTATTTCAAAGATCATGCCAACTACTTTGTTGTTGACATGTGTAAAAAAAAGAAAAAGAAAAATGAATGAAACAATTCAGTGGACAAAAACCAAAGTCATCTGAAAATGTTTGAATTGTCTCTTCCTCTTGCACCATTTACTGGTTCAATGACTACAAATTGAACCATTCAAAACGCGCACACTTTCTTCACCACACGGATAACTTAGCCATTGGCTGTAGAACTAACTTGCCGAGTTGAAAGTTCTTTCCACAGTCCACCCAAAAACTTTTTGCATTTCTGAATGTGGGAAGAACTTGAAACAATTGGAAGCAGTTTGGTACAAAATGGACAGGAGACATGTTGAACTTCTCTGATGTGTTCAATAAGCTTTTCTGTAGTCTTGCACTTTTTCCCACATCCTTGACAAACATGTACGGGTAATGTTGGTACTTCCTTCTCTACTGAAGTGCTTGAACTGACCTTTGGGCACGTCTTCTTGTCTGCTTTGAGTGCCGGGCATGTTCTTTGGTGACTTTTTTCGATCTTGGCCATAAAAAACTTACCGCACTTGCACTTAGCATGAACCATATTCAGGTGTTGGGTAAGGTCATTGTTGTCTTTGACCTTTTTGTTACAAACATGGCAACGGATTTTACCAACAGGTATAGCTTTGTTGGTTTGGGCAGTCTCACCATTGGCATGAACTATCTTCATGTGTTGCTTGAGGGCAACCTTGTCTTTAACCTTTTTGTTACAAACATGACAAGGGATTGCCTCAAGTGGAACAGTGATGCTGGTATCACTGTGGCTCGGAGCCACAGTAGTGCCAGCATCTTTCATACGTTTCATGCACTGGTAAATTTTGAGCCCTACCCAAGCATCCAGAGCTGCATAGTGGATCTGTTGAATCCTCAATGGGAATTTTTCCCAGTTGCTCTTGGAGACGGACTTTGGCTTGCTAAGTTGAACTCCAAGGAATCGATCAGCAAGAGCCTTCAGTCCAAACTTGCTAGATCTTGGGACACCCACAGACCTGGCCAATGTCTGCGTATCCTCAAACCCTACACATTTCAATCTAGTGTCTCGCTTTAATTTAGTGACATCCTGCAAGATGCCACTTCCAACTTTGACAACCTTTGTGTCAGTCAAAACAGAATTCAGATAATTGGGCATTGTCTCCATATGGTGTAGATGTAACACCAGGCAGGACTTTTCCACAGCCAGCTGAAGAACAGCAGTCTTGTTCTCCTTTCCTCCCTTCTTCTTACTTATAAACTGTGGCTTCCACTCAATATCAAAACCAACTGCCGAAACATCACAGTCAACTACATTGTTCCTCAACCAGGCATCAGCCTCAACCGAGTCAGCTGTATAAACTACTTCTACACCTTCTGCTGGGTATGGAAGACTGCGAATTAGTGTGCGATTTCCAGCAGTGGCTTGGTTGTCTTTCTTGCCACTTTGCATTCCCGGGAGACCCGTGTCTTCAACAGAATCTTGAGTATTTTGCATCAGTGGTGTATCAAACGGCATGTCTGGAACCACAGGAGATTTTCCTCTTGACTTAATGTTTAAAAGATGGCGAAGATCTTCAACATTGTTATTTGGTGGATTATGAAACAATATTTCATTTGGCATGTCTCTTTCTTCGCTCTGCCCGTCAGTGAGGTAGCTACAGTTATAACTACTATTTGTCCCATTATAATATAGAGTTTCATAATGACCATTTATTTGACCAGTGGCATTGAAGGTAGCCACGTCATCACGCAGCTGATCGTGATACAGCGTTTCATCAGGGGTGAGTCTTCCATGAGTATGAATTGCAAGGCTGTAATGGCCATCATCATCTTCATTGATTGACGAGTTACGATGCAGTAGTTCATAATGCATGTGTGTTCTCTGACCCTGTGTAATTGTAGGGTAAGCAGCTTCATTAATATTTTGTCTATTATGAAACAGCATGTCTTCAGTAATGTACCTTCCATGACCCTGCCTAGTACCAAGGTTGGTAACAATATCGTTATCATCGTAATTAGACCATTTATGAGACGATGTTTCATTAGCCACGGATCTTCTGTGACTCTGATTGGTATCATGGCAGCTGTCTTCAGTGTAATTATTTGATGTATCTTGATACAATGCTTGACCATAGGACTGATAACTCTCATTGCTACCACCATATGACATTCTATCTGCAGAATTTCTCCTGTAATTTTGCATTGGATGAGCAACTCTTGTATCTGTTGGTATATGAATCAGATTGTGATCTCGAACATTCCTACCATAACTCTCATTTGCAGGGTGATGTGTTTCAGCACTGTACATCTGGTCATCATCAGCAATAGTTGATGTACTACTATGTCTATGCTTTGTGGCACGACGTGCGTCTTCAATGTAATTTGACACATTGGCAATCAAATCTCTGGGTATATCATCACCAGGTAAATTTCTGTCATAACATATCTTTGTAGCATAATCCACATCGAAAGTATGCTGACGTTCATGTCTTCTTTCTCTCAGTGTAGTGGTGTCTCTATCAGAATGGCATGACCTTGCTGTCAATGTGTTGGGTTTATCAACAGGCTCTGATTTAACACGAACTGGTGGACTTTCAGGTCTTCTTTCTCTCAGTGTAGTAGTCTCTCTTTCAAAATAGTACGACCTTGATGTCATTGAGTTGTGATCGTCATCGGGCTCTGATTTAACACGAACAGGCACTTGTTTGTTCAGCCACTCTCCTTCCGTGTCATTCCAAAACCCTCTGCTTGATGCATAACTCCGTGAGCATGAGATTTCTTGATAACGCATGTGCAATGGCAAATCCTCATCACTTTCGATTCTCTCTCTCTTGATTTTTCGAGCAGACTCTGAGAAATCTTCAGCCTTCTCTTCTTCAAACTCCATTCCTTTCCTCTTGTGAATGCGATCGTTTATGTGTTCAGTTTTGCGGCGTAACAAGTAATCCCATGCTCGTTCGCCACTTGCTGCGGCAGAATGTGAAGACGAGTCGTCAGCATCATCTCTTTTTGTAGACTCTCTGCTGATCCGAGAACTTCGGGTGCGCGGTCGTCGACTGTAATATCTGGAGCTCATTTCAAAACTCCTTTAGTTTCCAGCTTAATTCTTCGGTACTTCTAAAAGCTTTCTGGGCTAAAAAAGGCAAATTATCTTGCCAAACTTCTTCAAAGAAACAAGAACCTTGTCCTGGTTGCAAAGATGGCGAATAAGCTGACGAACCAAGCCTTGGTGCCTGAAGCGGAAGTACTGGGTCAAAAAAGCTGCGTCAGGATGCCGCGGTGAATTGTGGTTACGTCTGATTCAAAATGACGGAAAGATACAGCTTTAGTTTAACAACATTCAGGTACTTTTTATTCCTTTTTTTCTTTTCCTTTTCCCTCATTTTTGGTTTGAAATTAATTGAAAACAGTCTAGCTAACTGTCTACGGAATTAGATGGAGATTGAGTGAAAAATATCCATGCAATCGATGGCCGGATTTTCGGCTTTCGATGAAAACTTTGGGTTTTTGGTTAAAAAGAGAGGATGAAATTAATCACATTGTCTTGCTGTTAATTTTTTCTTACTCCTTATGAAGGTTTTTTTGACGGTTGAAAGACGTTAAAGACGTTAAATAGTGAAGATGTTTTAATTGCCCATCGATTCTTTCGTAGTCATGTTTAAGCTCCAGTAGAGTTAGCACGTGTCAGGTGTTTTCGAATGTCAATTTCACTGCGGCAAAGGCAGGGGATTTTTTTAAAGCCNAGTTTCCAGCTTAATTCTTCGGTACTGCTAAAAGCTTTCTGGGCTAAAAAAGGCAAATTATCAAGCCAAACTTCTTCAAAGAAACAAGAACCTTGTCCTGGTTGCAAAGATGGCGAATAAGCTGACGAACCAAGCCTTGATGCCTGAAGCGGAAGTACTGGGTCAAAAAAGCTGCGTCAGGATGCCGCGGTGAATTGTGGTTACGTCTGTTTCAAAATGACGGAAAGATACAGCTTTAGTTTGACAACTTTCAGGTACTTTTTATTCCTTTTTTCTTTTCCTTTTCCCTCATTTATGGTTTGAAATTAATTGAAAACAGTCTAGCTAGTTGTCTACGGAATTAGATGGAGATTGAGTGAAAAATATCCATGAAATCGATGCCCGGATTTTCGGCTTTCGATGAAAACTTTGGGTTTTTGGTTAAAAAGAGAGGATGAAATTAATCACATTGTCTTGCTGTTAATTTTTTTCTTACCCCTTATGAAGGTTTTTTTTTGACGGTTGTAAGACGTTAAAGACGTTAAATAGTGAAGATGTTTTAATTGCCCATCGATTCTTTCGTAGTCATGTTTAAGCTCCAGTAGAGTTAGCACGTGTCAGGTGTTTTCGAATGTCAATTTCACTGCGGCAAAGGCAGGGGATTTTTTTAAAGCCGTGAATAGTACTAGCCAGCCCATCAGAACAATTTTATTTAAACAATGATTGAAAAAGAAAACAGACATAAGCACAGTATCTGTGATCATCAAACTTGTTTGCAATAAACCCCTTAATCCTGTTGAGGGTGGTGGAAGGTAAGGGTGAGGGGTGGGGGTTGTTGTTATCTGGAGCTCCTTATTCTGAATTAGTCTGAATTCATTTTTTTTGTACCCATACTCTCTAGAAGCCTAAATTCGCCACCATATCTCAGACACGGGACTGTTTTACATATATCCCTATTTGCCCTTCCCCTCCTCCTCATCATTGCCATGACCATTTTAAAGTTGCCATTATTTTCATTGTCACCATCATTGTAAGTGGCAGCATTATGTGTGTTCTAATTTTTAACAATTTTGTCTGTCCCCAATAATCTCTAGTCCCTCAGGAAAGCTTGTCCAGATTGAATATGCTCTGGCAGCAGTTGCTGCAGGAGGACCTTCAGTGGGAATAAAAGGTAAACTGACATGCCAACATGAACTTCATAAAATGTCTTTTGAGTGTTGTCATTGCATTATCCAGTACAGTAAAACCCCTCTGTACGGACACCTGCCTAATACCAATACTCGTGTATACCAGAGATTATGTTTGTGCTGACAAAAAGCTCAAATGTTTTCCCTAACATTAACCTGCTCACTACAGACATCGGTTAATACGGACAATGGACACCATTCTGGGTCCTGAGTTACAAACCCTCATATATCATCTAACCCCCTTTTACAGACACCAGTTGCCTGCACATTGTGTATTTCATTGTCACAATAAAATTTATAATATGTACTTATTGCAGACATTGTACTCAGTTAAAATGATGACAGATTTCTATGAGTTAAATTATTTTAGTAGCAAAATTGCTTGACATGTTTGAAGTCCGTCTTTCTTCCCTTGTTTGACCCTTGTACTGAAGCCGTTAAACAAAGTTGTTACCTCCTACTACACAAGTTTGACGCTCTTAGCATTTTGTTGTAGTCTTGGGTCCCACCATTCTTCCTCTTTGTCTGTTTTAGGCATAAAACAAACACCTGGGTACTATGGACTTAATGACATGTCCACATTAACCGGGTTCCACTGTATTGTAATACATGTAGCTCACCAAACTACCAAATTGATTGTCTTCAACAAATCAACATCCCTTGTTTACATTCTTAGAAGTCAGAAAAATGGTGTCAGAAAACTCAGTTGGCCCTGGTTGTGGTTTTACTGGAAATGGGACTGTTTCATTTTTTACGCAGACACAGAAGTTTTTTCTTTTATTTTTTTTTCAGCAGAGTGCAATTGAGAATGTTTGACTGAAACTCAGTCTAGAAATGTTTTATAAGTATACTGGATAAATGGAATGGCTCAGACATTTCAACTCCCTTTGCAGCAAAATAGGGAGACACTTTTTAGCTCCGAAGGAGCTGATATATACATGTATCAGCTAAGAAATGAGCCTCTAGGAGGTTCGCCCCAGAAAATTTGGCAAATTAAGGTTCTCTTAAGTGCCATTTCGTTCATTTTGAGATCATTTCTGAGTTATTCTATAGGGTCTTTATTCTTATCATAGTGTAATATCTAATGCTTTACCCTCAGTAAAACCATTGTTCAAACCTAAGGAAAAGTTTTGAAAGGTTACAGGCAACTTAGCTTGTCAATCCACTTATCCTTACATTTGTGTGTGTTATTTCTTAAGCCTCCAATGGAGTTGTCCTTGCTGCTGAGAAGAAACAGAAATCTGTTCTGTACGATGACAGCACAATCAACAAAGTGGAAATGGTAACCAAAAATGTTGGTATGGTTTACAGTGGAATGGGACCAGACTATAGGTATGGATAAAGGATGATGGACCTTGATGGATTGAGGTTTTAGGGTTGATTTAACGTTTACCATATTAAACACTGTCCTGATCACCTAATACACTCCAGCGATATAATTTAACTCTTGGTAGCCCTGGCTATTAGAACTTGTTGGCCCCTGGCAAATTATTTTTCCTCAGGGCGACTAAATGTAACTTATACAGTTTGTAGGTAAAATGTGTTCTCAGATTAAGCCATTAGTCAACCTATGTTAGCAACCTACGTTAGTGTGATTCAGAATTTCTTTTGTTTCCTAGCCTGAATTATTCATAAGAGACAAATGAAATTCTTGTATAACCCGAGAACTGATTTTTAGTGAAGCATAAACACTTAGCACCCAAGATTTGATAAGTTTAGAGGTTTTGCGCTTATACCTTTTCTTTGATTACATCTTTGACTAGTATTATTAATGATAACAAAGCACACTAAGCAAAACTTTTAATCCTAACTTACCTGATAAAAAATTAACTTGATTTTCACGGTTAAGTGTACTTGTTGCTCGCATATGCATGATGTCAAATAGTATGCTTCTTTTCTTGCAGAGTTCTCGTACGTCATGCCAGAAAGATTGCCCAACAGTATTTTTTAATGTATCAGGAAGAAATCCCTACAGCTCAGCTGGTTCAAAAGGTTGCATCTGTCGTTCAAGAATATACTCAATCAGGGTAAAAAAATGTTTATTTCTTTCTGTGCGAAGTATCATGTCTGTACTCCTTTGGTACTTCTGCAGAATTTATTATTATTATATTTTTTGAACAGTTTTTATTGAATTAAAGACAAGTTTTACAATGTTATTTAAGAATAAACATTAATTAAATAAATCAAATTATATAATTCTACTTAAAAAAAGAAAAAAGAAAAAGGATAACAATAACAACGAAAAATATATGTATATATTACAACAAAGACGATAACAATAAAGATGCCTGCTAATTTTTACGAACCTCTGTGTATCAACTACTACTAAGTGCATTAGTTACCTTCTCCCATTTTTGAAAATGAAAAATTTATATAAATGAAGAATTTATACGCTGCAGCCAGACTCCACTCACTGAACTACTGGAGACTATAACAGTGGCTTTTGAGGTGAAAACATTTCAGAATATTTTTTTGCTCTTCTAGAATAGAAGAGTATGGAAGTAAATTCGTATTGTCATTTTCAGTGGTTCTGGAAATAAAAGAGAACAGCAGTTGACGCTATAAAATAATATAATATTGTGAAAAGTAGCTTGTTTTAGGACTTTAGAGGTGCTAACATCGCTTATCATGTCTATTTTCAGTGGTGTGCGGCCATTTGGTGTGTCTCTTCTTGTTGCTGGCTGGGATGACGACAGACCTTATTTATTTCAGTGTGATCCTTCTGTAAGTCCAATTAAATTGTTCTTAAACCTTTCTGACATGGCTTTCAATAAGACCTGGAGCACCATTTGGAGTTCCAGCACATACATGTATGTGTATTGTGTTGTGAATCACCATCTACATTAATCCATGCTAGATCTGCCTCAGACTGTCAACTACTTTAGCTTGCTCTGACCCCCCCTCCCCCTATCAATTTTTTAACAGTTGTTGATTTGCCAAGCTTAAGCGATAAAAGGTTCTTTAAGTTTTGAAGTGTTACTGTGCTTCATACCTGTAACATGATTTTGGCTGTGTTGACTTCTGAGCCAACTCTCCCCACATGTGTTATGGGAAATGTATAGAGAATAGAGAGGAGAATATCCATACTGATATTGTGGATTGAGTAAGTTTTGTTAAGCAATCTCATTTTTATCTCAGGGCTCCTATTTTGCTTGGAAGGCCACAGCCATGGGTAAAAACTATGTGAATGGGAAAACATTCCTGGAAAAGAGGTACAAAATTTATTTGGTGTACAGTGTAATTTAACCCTTTAAGTCCCAATGGTGACCAACATCAATTTTCTCCTAACAATATCCATAGATTGTCAAGAGATTAGGTTATGAGAATTAATTAAATGATCATGTAAGACAAAATGCATTGATCTTTTGTCAAATTCTCAACACATTCTTTAAGGAAGTATATAGAGATCAGTTTGGAGAATTTGTATGTGGATATTGGGGCTTAAAGGGTTAAGGATCGATTTAGGTTTCTGGGAAACTGCCCACCTACCCCTCCCCTAAGCCAAGAGTAATTCTTACTTCTCACTTGGGGCAAAATTTTGCCTTAGGGGAGGGGTGGGTGGGCAGTTTCCCAGAATCTAAGTTGATGAAGTGAAATGGTATTATTTTTATTTATGTTGGTTGTTTCTCTATCTTTCAAGATACAATGAGAATTTGGAACTAGAAGATGCCATTCACACCGCCATTTTAACTCTCAAGGTAAGAATCGGTCAGTTGTAATTAAAACTTTTCACAAGAAATGGCCTAGTTAAAACATAAGTATGTATTTGTGAGAAAATGCAAGGAGTGACAGGCTACACATCCTTACTGACGTGAAACCTTGTGTTAACCTTTTATCTTTAAGCTTTCTTTAGGGATTTTCCTTTTCTTGTAGGAAATGATAGGTTGTTCTTTAAAAATTTGGTGAAGTAACGGTTGGTTTTGTATAAGATTCCATTTTTTTCATTAAAACTTCTTCTTCCCAACCAATTCTTGGAATGGAATGGTATTCCGTCACGGAGAAAACCTCTGCTTATGGTTAAGAAAAAGTTGACCTACCCATCAGCCCATTTACATGTAGATAACCTTGTTGCTCGTCTCGCGAATCTGACATTTGCTTGGTGAGCATCCCTTACACTTTTGTAACCTGTGAGCAGGCGTACTTGTGGAATTCAGGGAAAATGTTGAGCCTGCTCACAGGCTACTGCCTTTGGTCTTGTTGTGGTTGACTTGTGGCCAGTCTACATGTGAGGTTGATGAGAAAAAATGACAAGGCAACTTTACCGAGTACTTATAAGTCAGGTTCCCAGTCTACTTATGATTGATCATCCAATCTTTCACTCCTTACAAAAATGTTATAACCTGTATCTTTCTTTTTCACAGGAGAGTTTTGAGGGACAAATGACAGAAGACAACATTGAAATAGGAGTATGCAATGATCAAGGCTTCCGTCGTCTTACTCCTGCAGAAGTGAAAGACTAATAGTGAAGATGTTTTAATTGCCCATCGATTCTTTCGTAGTCATGTTTAAGCTCCAGTAGAGTTAGCACGTGTCAGGTGTTTTCGAATGTCAATTTCACTGCGGCAAAGGCAGGGGATTTTTTTAAAGCCTTAAACAGTACTAGCCTGCCCATCAGAACAATTTTATTTAAACAATTTTTGAAAAAGAAAACAGACATAAGCACAGTATCTGTGATCATCAAACTTGTTTGCAATCATCCCCTCAACCCTGTTGACCATGGAGGAAAGTAAGGGTGAGGGGTGGGGGTTGCTGAGATCTGGAGCTCCTTATTCTGAATTAGTCTGAATTCATTTTTTTGGTACCCATACTCTCTAGAAGCCTAAATTCTCCACCATATCTCAGACACAGGACTGCTTATGTATATCCCTTTTCAAGAAAATATCTTGTCTTTATTCTTCTTTTTTACCATCACAGTTTTCTCTATGATCACATCTTTCCTTCCTTTTTGCCCTCGCCCCCTTATCATCAATACAATGACCGTTTTACACTTGGCATTATTTTCATTGTCACCATCATTGTCAGTGGCAGCGTTTTGTGTGTTCTAATTTTTACCAATTTATTCTGCCCCCAATAATCTCTAGTCCCTCAGGAAAGCTTGTCCAGATTGAATATGCTCTGGCAGCAGTTGCTGCAGGAGGACCTTCAGTGGGAATAAAAGGTAAACTGACTACCAACATCAACATGAACTTCATAAAATGTCTTTTGAGTGTTATCATTGCATTATCCAGTACAGTAAAACCCCTCTGTACGGACAACCATTCAATACCGACAGTCATGTATACCAGAGATTATGTTTGTCTTGATGAAAAGCTATTTTTTTCTCTAAAATTAACCTGATTACTACAGACACAGGTTAATATGGACAGTGGACACTGTTCTGGGTCCTGAGTTACAAATCCTCATATATGGTCTAACCCCCTTTTACGGACACTGGTTACCTGCACATTGTGTATTTCATTGTCGCAATCATGTGCTAATTGCAGACATTGTGCTCAGTTATAATGATGACAGATTTCTATGAGTTTAAATGATTTTAGTTTCAAAATTGCATGACATCTTTCTTCCCCAGTTTGACCTTCGAATTGAAGCCATTAAACAAAATTTTACTTCCTGCTACACAGTTTGACTTTCTTAGCATTTTGCTGTCGTCTCGGGTCCCACCATTCTTCCTCTTTGTCTGTTTTAGGCTTAATACAAACACCCGGACACTATGTACTTAATGACATGTCCACATTAACAGAGTTCCACCGTATTGTAATAGCTCACTAAACTACAAAACTGATTGCCTTCAACAAATCAACATCCCTTGTTTACATTCTTAGCAATCAGAAAAATGGTGTCAGAAAATTGAGTTGGTGCCGCTTGTGGTTTTACTGCAAGCGTGATTGCCTTTATTTTTGTACACAGACATAGAAGTTTTGTGATATTTTTTTTAGCATCAAAACGGTCAAACCATATTGTAGCTCAGATAGTTTAACTGTAACTCAGTCTATAAATATTTTATAAGTGTAGTAGATAAATGGAATGGCTCAGACATTTATCTCCTTTTGAAGGACTATAGGGAGACACCTTTCAGCTCTGAAGGAGCTGATTATACATGTAGGAGCACCTAAGGCATGAGCCTCTAGGAGGTTCCCCCAGAAAATTTTGCAAATTAAGGTTCTCTTATGTGCCATTTCCTTCATTTTGACATAATTTCTGAGTTATTGTATAAGGTTTTTATTCTTATCACAGTGTGATATTTTTAACAATTATTCCTTGAGACCGATTGGGCTCTGAGTCAATAGCCCATGAGGCCTGAAGGCCGAATGGGCTATAAAATCCAACTAGTTGGTCAAAAAAATCGAGAATAAAAAACTTTTAGCTAGTTAAAGCTAGACTTTAATCCTTTTTTGCTGCCAAAATGCCCCCACTTTTCACTACTAGTGGGCTATAACATATAGCCTAGTAGTAGCCCAACCAATCAGATTGCAGCATTGATAATAGACCACAAGTTGGATTTTACTAAAATGCTTTAGCCTCAGTAGAACCATTAAACCTAAGGAAAATTTTTGAAAGGTTACAGGCAACTTAGCTTAATTGTCAATTCACTTATCCTTACATTTATATATGTGTTATTTCTTAAGCCTCCAATGGAGTTGTCCTTGCTGCTGAGAAGAAACAGAAATCGGTTCTCTATGATGACAGCACAATCAACAAAGTGGAAATGGTAACCAAAAATGTTGGTATGGTTTACAGTGGAATGGGACCAGACTATAGGTATGGATGAAGGATGATGGACCTTGATGGATTGAGGTTTTAGGGTTGATTTAACTTTTGCCATATTAAACACTGTCCTGATCACCTGATGTGCCCCATCAATATAATTTAACTCTTGGTAGCCCTGGCTATTAGAACTAGTTGGCCCCTGGCAAATTATTTTTCCTTGGGGCGACTAAATGTAACTTATACAGTTTGTAGGTAAAATGTGTTCTCAGATTAAGCCATTAGTCAACCTATGTTAGCAATCTACGTTAGCGTGATTCAGAATTTCTTTTGTTTCCTAGCCTGAATTATTGACAGGAGACAAATGAATTTCTTGTATAACCCGAGAACTGATTTTATGTTAAGCATAAACACTTAGCACCCAAGATTTGATAAGTTCAGAGGGTTTGCACTTATAACTTTTCTTTGATTACATCCTTGACTAGTATTATTAATGATAAAAAAGCACACTAAGCAAAACTTTTCATCTTAACTTACCTAATAAAAAACTAACTTGATTTTTGCAGTTGAGTGTACTTGTTGCTAGCATATACATGATGTCAAATGGTATGCTTCTTTTCTTGCAGAGTTCTCGTACGTCATGCAAGAAAGATTGCCCAACAGTATTTTTTGATGTATCAGGAAGAAATCCCTACAGCTCAGCTGGTTCAAAAGGTTGCATCTGTCGTTCAAGAATATACTCAATCAGGGTAAAAGAATGTTTAGTTCTTTCTGTGCGAAGTAGCATGTCTGTACTCCTTTGGTACTTCTGCAGAATTTATTATTAATTATTTTTTTGGAACAGTTTTTCTTGAATTAAAGACAAGTTTTACAATGTTATTATGCAATTCTACTTAAAAAAAGAAAAAAGAAAAAGGATAACAATAACAGCGAAAAATATATGTATATATTACAACAACGACGATAACAATAAAGATGCCTGCTAATTTTTACGAACCTCTGTGTATCAACTACTACTAAGTACATTAGTTAGCTTCTCCTACTAACCTCTTTTGAAAATGAAAAATTTATATAAATGAAGAATTAATTTTATACGCTGCAGCCAGACTCCACTCACTGAACTACTGGAGACTAACAGTGGCTTTTGAGGTGAAAACATTTCAGAATATTTTTTTACTCTTCCAGAATAGAAGAGTATAGATATAAATTCGTATTGTCATTTTCAGTGGTTCTGGAAATAAAAAGGAACAGCAGTTGACGCTATAAAATAATATAATATTGTGAAAAATAGCTTGTTGTAGGACTTTAGAGGTGCTAACATCGCTTATCATGTCTATTTTCAGTGGTGTGCGGCCATTTGGTGTGTCTCTTCTTGTTGCTGGCTGGGATGACGACAGACCTTATTTATTTCAGTGTGATCCTTCTGTAAGTCCAATTAAATTGTTCTTAAACCTTTCTGACATGGCTTTCAATAAGACCTGGAGCACCATCTGGAGTTCCAGCACATACATGTATGTATATTGTGTTGTGAATCACCATCTACATTAATCCGTGCTAGATCTGCCTCAGGTTGTCAACTACTTTAGCTTGCTCTGACCTCCCCTCCCCCCATCAATTTTTTAACAGTTATTGATTTGCCAAGCTTAAGTGATAAAAAGTTCTTTGAGTTTTGAAGTGTTACTGTGCTTCATACCTGTAACATGATTTTGGCTGTGTTGACTTCTGAGCTAACTCTCCCCACATGTGTTATGGGAAATGTATAGAGAATAGAGAGGAGAATATCCATACTGATATTGTGGATTGAGTAAGTTTTGTTAAGCAATCTCATTTTTATCTCAGGGCTCCTATTTTGCTTGGAAGGCCACAGCCATGGGTAAAAACTATGTGAATGGGAAAACATTCCTGGAAAAAAGGTACAAAATCTATTTGGTGTACAGTGTAATTTAACCCTTTAAGTCCCAATGGTGACCAACATCAATTTTCTGCTAACAATATCCATAGAATGTCAAGAGATTAGGTTATGAGAGTTATTAAAATGATCATCTAAGACAAAATGCTTTGATCTTTTATCAAATTCTTAACACATTCTTTAAGGAAATATATAGAGATCAGTTTGGAGAATTTGTATGTGGATATTGGGGCTTACGTTCTGGGAAACTGCCCACCTACCCCTCCCCTAAGCCAAGAGTAACACTTACTTCTCACTCGGGGCAAAATTGTGGCTTAGGGGAGGGGTGGGTGGGTAGTTTCCCTGGAACCTTAATTGATGAAGTGAAATGGCATTATTTTTATTTATGTTGGTTGTTTCTCTATCTTTCAAGATACAATGAAAATTTGGAACTAGAAGATGCCATTCACACAGCCATTTTAACTCTCAAGGTAAGAATCAGTCAGTTGTAATTTAAACTTTTCACAAGAAATGGCCCAGTTAAAACATAAGTATGTATTTGTGAGAAAATGCAAGGGGTGACAGGCTGCACATCCATACTGGCATGAAACCTTGTGTTAACCTTTTATATTTTAGCTCTAACGAGCATGTCCTTTAGGGATTTTCCTATTTTTTAGGAAATGATAGGTGGTTCTTTAAAAGTTGGTTTTGTATAAGATTCCATTTTTTCATTAAAACTTCTTTTAAAGTAGACACTAAGGGCTGGTACTGTACAGCCCCCAAAATGATCCCGACCCCGAAATGACACTGACCCCGAAATGATCCCCACCTGCTCCCAGGTCGACCCTGAAATGGTCCAATTCTTGGAATGGAATGGTATTTCGTCACGGAAAAAACCTCTGCTTATGGTTAAGAAAAGTTGACCTACCCATTAGCCCATGTACATGTAGATAAGCACGTCGCTCGTCTCGTGAATCTGACCCTTGCTTGGCGAGCATCCCTTGCACTTTTGTAACCTGTGAGCGGGCTCAATTGTGGAATTCGGGGAAAATGTTGAGCCTGCTTGCAGGTTACTGCCTTTGGTGCTGTTGTGGTTGACTTGTGGCCAGTCTACATGTGAGGTTGATGAGAGAAAAATGACAAGGCAACTATACCGAGTACTTATAAGTCAGATTCCCAGTCTACTTATGATTGATCATCCAATCTTTCACTCCTTATAAAAATGTTATAACCTGTATCTTTCTTTTTCACAGGAGAGTTTTGAGGGACAAATGACAGAAGACAACATTGAAATAGGAGTATGCAATGATCAAGGCTTCCGTCGTCTTACTCCTGCAGAAGTGAAAGACTATCTTGCCTCTATTGTATCTTAATGTCCAAATCTTTTTCCTGTTGTAAGTTAAGAGCAATCTCCTTTTCACAAATAGCTAGTATTAAACTTTCCTTTTGTGATGTGTGTATATTCTGTCTTGGTGTCTGGGAACGAGGTGAAACTTTGATATATAGTTAACTCTCCTAAGAAGGACACGTTGATGGTTCTGGACCGACCCCGACAGTCCGTCTTAGACAGGTGTCCGGCTTAGAGAGAGTTGAAAAATGGGACACCAGTATAAGAAGCTAAGGCTGTCGGACGAATGCAGGTTTTTAGTAGAGGGGGTTTGATGAAAGGGGGCTGCCTTCTGCGGTCTCCCATGGAAAATTGTGAAAAATTCAAGTCCTCGGAAACGCGATTCCTGCCATTCTGAGGCAAAGTCAACGTGTTTTAATATCTCATTTTTTAAAGTGAAAATGCCATTCTCCTTGCATCAAACTATAACTAAAACCTGTGTAGCAAAGATACAAATTTGCATTTATAAAACTATGATAAAAGTATACTGCATTAATTTTATTTTTTTTCAATTTTTTGTTTTGTCGAAGTCGGGATGGAAAAAACTTTTAAGCTTTATTGAGCAGCAGCGGCTTAACTTGGTTATGAATTCATTGCATTTAAGATTGACTATATTTTATTTTATATTTATACACGTTTTTGACGTTAGCTGTTTCAATTTAGGGGGTTTAATCGAACCCCCGGAACCTCCCTAGATCTGCCACAGAAGGCAGGACCTATTTGCAAAACAGTTGAAACTAGAACAATGTAAGAGAAAAGTAGAATCAAGTTCTTTTTGTGCAAACAAACGTCCATCACAAGCAAATGTTTGTGGCTTAGTGGTCTAAAAGCGTAACAGTGTAAAGTTTGCGAACTGGGATAAGACTACAAAGTAATAATAAAAACATTTTCAATTTAATGTCATGTAGAACACCTACATTCCCGTTTTGAGGTCTTTTTTACTACACAAGGCACTTCAAAAGTGTCCGTTGACAGTCTTAAATGTGTCCGTTGTCCGTCTCACAGAGGTATCCATCTTATAGAGAGGGAGAGTATGGTTAAAGTAAAAAAAAAACGGTAGGACCATCACTACTGTCCTTCTAAGAGAGTTGTCTTTTGAAAAGTGGACAAAAAAACTCCCAGCTACGGTGGGGAGGGGGGTGGCACCACTCCAAATGTTTACAACGGGAGTGTATAACCTCTCAAGTTTATTTCCCATTTTTAGACAAAATATTTATTTTCCCCTCCCCCGTTTCCGACCAAGAATGACCCCAGAGCCACATATTTAATGCACCATTGTAGTTTATTTATAATAACAACTTCTACTTCTCCCTTTTGGATCGCTCTCGACTTCACCTCGTTGTTCAACTCTAAATGAGTACCGTTAAGTCAAACCGGGGAACGTTCGTGCCCACGGCACGTACCGGTCCGCGCGGACAGATGTTTCGAATTGGGTATCTAAACGTTCTTGCGTTATCCCGACTAGATCTTTCCTTTGTGTCTTCATTGAGCACAGTCTAACCATACGAAATTCTTCCATCAGGGAAATAAGGACGCGTTGTTTCGTCCTAAGATTTTCGCGGGAGGTTTTCGCGCGTTCTACGCGCCAAAAATTTTTATGCTGCAGCGCTCTCTTCATGCTCCAAGCACAAACGATTTAAAAGCCTTGAAACTACAGTCAGTAGAGTATCGTATGTACTGCCCCCTGTACATGAATTGAGGCTCCTTTCAAGGCAGAGTTTGTAATCATGTAGCGTCGAACACAACTGTTTATCAGACGCGTTTTCTCCTTTAAGTTGTTTGGTGTATAACGTCGTACACATTTCCACAATCATCTTGCAAGAGTTCTCTGTCAGATCGGGTCCAGAAACGGCACCTGCGAAAATAAACGAACACTGATTTGCAGTTTTTCTGCGGAATATTACCTTTAGCAAATCCCAAATTGCATCCGAAAAATTGATACAATATCACGGAGGGAAAACGAAACTGATACGTTTCTGAGGTTGAAAGGGCTGAAAGGGAAGATAAAGACGGGCTATTGGCATAGGGAGCTTTAGCGAAGGCAAAGGCGGCGGCAGCGAAAATTTCACCCTTGGAATGAATTTGAGTTTTTCCAAACGCTGTTATTCCAACTTGCTTAAAATGTAAAAATGTGAGGGACCAAACCCAAGTCTGGATGGAGAAGAAAAATCGAAGAAGAGCGACTTTAAATACGCGAACCCGTGTAAAAATAGGGAGCTGATAGGCAGCAACAACGGCGACAGCTACGAAAACGTCACTTTTAAAAATGCGACACGCGCTTATTCCATCTCATTCATTGTCAAATGTTGGCAGCTTTTTCTGGAGTTGAATTTTAAAGGACTGTATCAAAGTTCAGGAAAAGAAAAAGAAAGTCGTTGTCTTGAGTTCACGTCCTCCACAAAACATGATTTAGGCACTGAGGTTTCACGTCGTAGTCGTGCAGCAGCCGTGCAGTGACGGAAAGAAATGGAGAATAAAGTGTGCTGAACGTGCCGAGTTGTTGTTTTGCGTATTAAACCTGATGCTTTTACGACGTTCTCGTTGAATTCGCCGTTGTCGTTTTAAGCTCCCTTTTACTAAAAGCAGCAGATTACTTTTCAGCGCTGAGCTTTCCCTCCAAATTGCGACCTTTTATATAGTATATGATTGAATATATATGACATTGAATTGACACTGCTATAAACGCACTAACTCTTTCCGAAAATTGAAGCTCATATCGCAATTCAATCAAATTATCAGTTTTATAACACGAAATCTATTTAACTGATTTAAGCACATCTAGCAAAGTACAACCATAAGACACTCTCTTATTTGATCTGATGATGTAAGAAGAAATTTCACACTGACTGTCCTTGCGTACTTCGCAATCTATTAAATATGAGGTTGTACATCAACAAAATGGCAGAGACATTATCCGTAACATACCTTTCGGTCTTTCCGCAAGCACCAGAAACGAGGCAAGAAAAACCATAACCGTGAAACGGGCTTGTAAAGCCACAAAATCCCTCGCCATCATCCGCCCGCGAAGTTACTTTGCCGGTCACGCTGTACTCACAAATGACAAAGTTCAAGAGCTTTTGAGCGGCTAAAAAAGTCTTCTGTTTTCTGTGTAAACATCGTTTCGCCCCAAAACATTCCAGCTTACGTTACTCAAAACTACAGATGTGATGGGCAGATAAATTTTTCACGGAGTTCGCGTGCTGATGAAACCAAAGTAAGGGTAAGGGCGGGGGGGGGAGGTTCTCTAATGATCTTGCACGTAGCTCTTTTTTTTTTTCACTATTTCGCCTATGTCAGCTTGACGTATTCACCTTGGTGAAAACAAGGGAAGATGTCTTTTTAAAGTCAAATATATAACATGCTTTATCGCATTTTAAGTTCAGTTATTTGGCGTCTGATACTTCTATCATAGTACCACTCTCTCACGAACTATCAATTGGCATTTGATTTCCTGCTGAAGTGAAAATCCAAGAGATTTCCGGAAAGGTCAACAAGTATCTCGGATATCCGATATTCCACAGTAAATCCTCTTTCATCGTTTTAATGGTTGCACGCAAAACTAGTTTTCAAACCCCACTACATATTAAGTTGTTTTACGTCAATTAACAAGTAACAGACTAATGTCAGGCCTCGCTAATACTACACCGCAATCAAAGAAAGAACAATAGGAGTGTAAGCCTGTAAATTTCGATGTAGTTAACCACCCAATTTTTCCCCACCCAAAGGTAACCAAAGCCATGAAGAATTCCCACGTGGCGGTGATTGATGAGAGGCCTCTGTGCCCGTGGGCGGGGGTGGGGGAGGGTAGTTCCCTATAAAACCAACGGGGGTGCTCGTCGTACCTTTTAGGGGCTTAATTTTGTGGACTGGTACCGCTTAGGGTGCTAAAACCTAAAATGACCGCTGCCAGAGATGATACGCTTTATTAGGATAAAGATTTATGACGATACTTTCAAAAGTCCTTGAGAAGAGACTCGAACTTCGCGCTAACTCGAACCAATGTCGGTTTCCCCTGGATTTCCCTCTTACATTTACTGTAATTTTACCCTTGGTAACTCGAACCCTCGATAACTCGAACCTCCCGCTAACTCGAAGTAATTTTTGTTTCCCTTCAGCTCATTTCTATACATTTTTACCCTCGCCAACTCGAACCTTGTTATAAGCGCGTGATAACTCGGGAAAAAAACCGTGTACTGAAGTCCGAAACATTGAATTTATTTAAAAACAACCGAGTAAATTCTTTGTCTTTACTTTTTTGTCACTCCCGTTCAAATTCAGCCCAGGGAGGGGGGGTACTTTAGAAATCTCTGGGTGGGGATGTGCCGCTTGAACCCTAGAATCCTTAACCTATACCAGAGCTAGTTCAGCTGAATTTTGCTACCCTATACTAGAGTAAACTCCCCTAACCTCCCCCCCCATCCTAGAGTAGCTGTTTTCCAGAAACTACTGAGGTCACTAGCACAGTAGTCTAGCCAAAACAAAACCTTATACCACAGTCCCTAGTCTAGATAAAATCTTCAACCAACTGATCAGTTTCCTGAAAAATGATACCCTATTCTTGACCCAAATTCGCCGATTTATATACCCCAGAGTGAACTGCTTGAAAACCATACCCTTCACAGCGGCACATACCTATATAGCCAATATATGGCAGTACCTACCCCCCGGGAAATTCAGTATCCATTCCTGTATACTTTGTTGGTTAATTGCCTTTCCTTCCCATCCATTTGCTTATTTCCTTACTTCCGGTTATTTGCTTCAAACTTTCGATAACTCGAACTCCCGATAACTTGAACTTTTCTGTATCTTTCTTTTTCACAGGAGAGTTTTGAGGGACAAATGACAGAAGACAACATTGAAATAGGAGTATGCAATGATCAAGGCTTCCGTCGTCTTACTCCTGCAGAAGTGAAAGACTATCTTGCCTCTATAGTATCTTAATGTTCAAATCTTTTTCCTGTTGTAAGTTAAGAGCAATCTCCTTTT